CAGTGTTTGGGAGTTAGCTTGAGGCAGATTTTCCATGGTAAGCAAAAAGTCTTAACAATCAGATCAGTCCAATAGTGGAATGAGGAATTTGGAAAACAGCAAATTCTTTCTCTGTAAGCAAAGGTGGCATGACCGTTTATCAAATTTATTGTAGGAGAGATTCCTGCTTTGGGTGGCAGGTTGGGCTAAATGCCTTTCGAGGTTCTTTCCCAGGAACCTCAAGTTGTAAGTTTGGGTCTTGGTAGAGCTTCACATGGGGGTTGGACTGTGCTTATTTTCTTTCTAAACATGAACCTCCAAACTTTACAGTACATAAGCTGCTTGAGTATGCTTGAGTGCCACACATTTCTTGGTGATGTTCATGAACTTTCTCAGAACTCTGAGGCACAGTAAAATTATTTTCCCTATGGGGTGGTTTTCTTTTAGTCTTTTAAGGGTTCACAGTAGTTGTATATAGCCTTTCTGACCAGCAAGAAAATATCTTTCTAAGCTTTTGAAGAGAAACAATTTGCATAGGTTGTTCTCCCAATTTATTTTTTTAATTTCAAACCAGAGACTGATCTTTTCATATGGACTTCCCTGCCATACCTCCCACAAATGACAAGTGTGGTGTGAAGAGTACATGTGGGGCATTAACAGTGGTGTTTGACAGCATTGTGCTGTTTAGAATCTGCCCTTTATACTGAAATGATATGATTGGCTTTGTTTCCAGGGTTACAGAAACTTCTTTGGTCCATTTCCATGACTGCATCCAGTGGCAAGGCACTACTTTCTGCTTTTCAGAGCGTCTGCGGACCACCCTCCAAGATAATGCAGGCATAAGGTGGCGTCTCTAGTAAGAGTTGGCTTTGGTTGAGCCTTTGCTATTACTTGGCAAAAATGATTAGGTTGTAGTTGATAACTTGACCTGGGGGTGGAAATAAACCCTGGCATTTTTCCATATTAGAACTGAGTTGCATTTAGTAGTTTTTAAGATCTTTGAATAATGACTGTTTTAAACAAATGGGTGGAGGTTTAGGGATTGCCACATGTAGAAATTAATTTATCATTTCACACAAAATTAAGTAGGTAATTAAATTATGTTAATTAAATTGAGTTTATTGAACATATACTATTTTATCAGATAGAATTTCTCCCTTTTAAGTTACTTGCATTCTTGTTGGGAAATAACCTATTTCCTGGATGCAGAATGACCTCCATTGCTTCTTTTCTTGGCTACTAGTGAAGGGGCCTTGGTGGTACAATGGTTAAACTCTTAGCTGCTAACAGAAAGGTTGGCAGTTTGAACCCACCCAGCCACTCTGCGGGAGAAAGACCTGCTGATTTGCTCCCATAAAGATCACAACCAAGAAAACCCTATGGGGCAGTTAGTTCTACTCTGTAACATAGGGTTAGTATGAGTTGGAAATCGACTTGACGGCACGTAACAACAATTGAGCTCTTCAGTATCCCTGGGTGATGCAAGTGGCTAAGCACTCTGCTGCTGACCAAAAGGTTGGGGTTTCAAGTCCAACTAGAGGTGCCTTGGAAGAAGGACTTAGCATCCTACTTCCAAATATCAGCCATTAAAATTAATATCAGTTGTACTCTGACACACATGGGATCGTCAAGAGTCTGGCACTGGTAGTGAAGCTTTTAAGTGGATGGTGGGAGTGTTAAACACTTCAGAGAACTGGTAGATTTAGGAAACTTGCTTGGATTTTAAGTAGTGAGGGTTTCATGATAAACTCTGATGGCTCGTATATAGAGAAGCTTGAGACTCTGCCTTATCTGAGAAGACAAAATATCCTTAGTATTCTAAGAAAGATTAATGACTAACATTTGTATATTGCTTTATATACCACTTTCACTGACATTACATCATTTGATGATTGTGAAGTAGTGATGACTTATCCAAATAAGATAGAATATGGCAGTTTGGCCAAGAATCCGACCTTTTTATTTATTTATTTATTTTGACTTTGAAATATTTAAAAGTGTTTAACAGAAGGGGATCATGTCCAAACAGCACAGAGTCACAGGTTGGATACCTCATATGGCTTCACATTTGGAGCCAGCATTTGCTTATACTGAATTATATAATATCAATGAATGAACATGACGTGCTTAAACTTCAATAAATATTAAACATAACTCTTGCAGTGTGTCCATTCACAGATGAAAAACAGGGCTGGAAAACCCAGTATGAATTGAATGTCATATGCCTCCAGTTTAGATGCACTATATCAGCACTGATCGACAAGTGCCAAGAGTCATTTTGGAGCATCTTATCCAACATTAAATCTTAAATGAAAGGGAAATGCAAACATTTAGCCGAACAGTAGCAGTACAAACCCTAGTGAGACAGTATAATAAATTGTTAAGACTGGACAATGAGCCAGATCTAGTATCTAGAACATGTGCTCTTGACATTGTCCTGTCCCAAACAGGAAGAAATAGCTAAGGTGCCTAAATGTGCCATTCCTCAGAGAAAGCCAGAGAGTGAGATAATAAATTTCTTTCTTTAAAGTCACCTACCTTGTGGTCTTTGTTTAAGGCAGCCCTAGGAGACTAAGACAGTATACAGAAATGCCTCTCGTACTGTGAGGGAGCGTCAGCTAGATGTGTGTGACAATGTAGCTGGATCCTGGCTCTCCCACAACCCTTCCCAGAGACCGTGGGCAATCCCTCACCTCCCTGTGCTGGGGTTCTTTATTTCTAAATTAGGACGGATGTCTTCTGGTAGAATTGAGATGAACACTAGTGACAGTTCACATTAAGTTCCTAGCACAAGCATGGCACACAGTAGATGCTCAGTGAATTATTATTATTAATGATATTATTATTACAAGGCAGAGAATGATGCGATATAAGGTAAACAAGGAACAGTCATAAAATGAAGCCAGCAATGAGGCCAGTACAAAAATATCTCTGTGAAGTCATCCTCACTCTTCCAGAGCCACTGTGATGAGAGAAAGCTGATTGTTGGATCACTCACTGTGTTCACAAGAGTAGAGTGTGCTCAGGAGAGGCAACTTCCCAGCCCAAGACCAAAAGAAAGGTCTCTAGAGTCCTCGGGCTCTGTACAAAGTTATAAACAGTGTCCTCAATAACTTCTTTAGAGTAAACCCAATGACAATTCTCATAGGCTGTCCCTTAATAGAGGCTAATGGCAACAAGCCACAGTATAATGCAATAGAAACGATCCCACTGAGAGCCGGTATAAGGAGTCCAGGCACAGGGCTCTCAGCTGTTCTGACTTAACCAGGGGCAATGATAGTTAATGCTTACTGAACACGTATGAGGAGCCAGAGAGAGCTGTAAGCCCTCTGCATCTGTCACCTCATTTATGTCTTAACCACCCTGTGAGTTGGTAATATGATCATCCCATTTTGCACATGAGTGAACAGACCCAGAAAAATTAAGATACCTGCCCAGGGTCACAGAGTTCATGATCCCTAGCCAGGATTCAAACCCAGGCAGGCTGGCTCCAGAGCCTGTGTTACTACCTCCATCTATTGCTTCTGGGAAATTGGTTGGGCTGCACACCCTTGTGACAGTGCTTCATAAGGATGTCCTTGTCACCTGAGCCTTTGATAAATCTTGAGCAGCAGTGAGTTCAAGATTGTCTGTACCGGACACCCTTTTAGTTCAGTAATGAAGTCACTCCTGAGGTTCACCCTTCAGCCAAAGATTAGACAGGCCCATAAAACAGGACTAATGGGGCACAACAGCCCAGGGACAAGGACTAGAAGGCAGGAGGGGACAGGAAAGCTGGTAATAGAGAACCCAAGCTCAAGAAGGGAGAGTGTTGACATGTCGTGGGGTTGTTAACCAATGTCATAAAACAATATATGTACTGTGTAGTGAGAAATGAGTTCTGTAAACCTTCGTCTAAAGTACAATAAATAATAAAAAAGATTGTGTGTAAATTCTGACGAGTTCCTGAAGAGCAGATGCTCTGTGTGGCCAGTTATCATGGATCTGTGGGCTTTGTGTCAGCTGAGGTGGCATAGGGGTGAAACACTCTTGTTCAGGAGCCTTGAACCGAAGGCCATCCATGACCTCAGCTCAGAAAAGGGGGAAGGCAAATAGGGGAGCAGAACCAAGACTTGCCTTAGAAAGTAATCTTCAATCCACTCTAATGCATAGACAAATGGAGGCTGAGGACTCAGAATTCTTCGTGTATCATGGCTGCAAAAATTTTAGTCTCCCAAAGTGTCAAGGCAGGCACACTTAGACTCCTGTTTTGGCTATTTTTCAAAAAATGAATATGTGGCATCCACAGAATGCTTGGTGCACATCTCTCGTGATTTTTACCTAATATGTTGGACCCTCAAACCTGTCTGACAGGAAACATTCCCAAACCTCCTATACCCTGTAACCATCATCATAACAGAATGTTCCAGTAAGGCCCCATATATGGCACTTGTGCTGTTCCTCCATGCTAGACATTGCTAGTGGATTGGGCCCCTTGACTTTAGAATTCTTTTCAATAGAGCATTGGATTGACCTTGGATTTGAAACCTGTTTGCTGTTACATCATGGAAAGAACCAGAATCATAAGCTCGTAGTTCAGGAGCCATACCACTTTCTTGCTGTATCCTCTTCTGTAAAATGGAAATACTAATGATACCTATTCTGCCACTTCACAGAGTTGTTGAGATGACCACACATAAGATCAGTGTGAAGGTGCTTTGTCCCCTAAATCCCACAAACGGCAAGCATACTATGCTAAAGATGGGCCCACACATGTGACCTATGTGGATAAAGAGGAAACCATGAAGCAAAAATTGTTTGTTTAAATGCATCCTCTACAAAAGATAGAGTTTCCAAGGAGCGGCTGGTGGATTCGAACTGCCGACCTTGGTTAGCAGCCGAGTTCTTTGCCACTGCGCCACAAGGGCTCCAACAAAAGAAGTACTGGCATTTTAAATGAGTGTAATACCTGACCCAGAGGTGCCTGTTGATAAAACTCACGAATTAATGTTTCACATTCCCTGTGGTTGATCTCTTTGCAGGGTGATCATACATTTCCAGTGACAACATGGAGTTTGGGTACTGTTGATGTCTGACACAGAGCTTATTCATTTCTTATGTATTTATGGAACATCTACCGTATGGAGGTTGAAAGAAGAGAACTGTTCACCAGGAACTCTATTTTAAACTCCCTGAGGGGAGCCATCATGTTCTAGGTAACGCTTGTATCCTCAGGACCAAACATTGAGTGCTTTCACAAGAGGTGAAATTGTGTCATGGGATTTGATGAGTAGAGAGAAGAGGAGGGTGTTGAAAGCCATCACACATGGCCCTTAGTACTGGAGGAGGTGAGAAGGAGTAGTCCAGCTGGTGGAGAAGAGCAGAGATCCTCTCCAGGCTGGAGGGAGAAGCAGGAACTAGGCTGTGGAGACCCTGCCAATTGTTCAGGGGCAGCATTTCTGAAGGGAATATGTTGATTGTGGTTCCCTGTGTACAAGACACTCAACAATGTAAACTGCTAGGATGCAACTCTCTGAGTCTATTTTCTTACAACATGTGTTTGTTTATTAAAGAGCTGTGATAACTTGAGGGTGTTGTGGCAACCTCTTCTCCTGTACCAGCTGAACTCAGTGACGTCAGTATCTTGGTTCCTGCCAGGCTAGGGGTGTTATCACTGAGCTGCGGGGAGGCTACCCAGGGGTGGAAGATGGCTCTGCTCCCAAGGTGCTTTGTTTGAGCAGGGCTTCGAACTGGTTCAGTCATGGCCAATGAAGCAAAACTGGAAGAGACCTGAAATTTTATGATTTGGGTGAACCGAAATGATAACTGGAACAGGAAAAATTACAGGTTGAAGCCCTGGAATGAGAGACTTGGCAGAGGCATAGTGAGCCCTTTCATGAGCCTGATGTGTGAGATTGAATTATTGGCAGGAGTGTGGAGAGCAACACACATTCAGAGTGGTGCAGTTGGCCACCGTCTTTGAGCGGGGCACTGCTATTTCCGACTCTGCTCAAAATCCGACAGGCAAGAGATTTGGTTGCTATGCAACGTGGACATTGTCCTTGTTTTCTAAGAGGGAGATTAGGTTTCTAGCAGGCCTTCAACCTGTAATGAACAGGTTCACCCAAATTTTAAAAATTCGGATCTGTTCTTGTTTTGCTTCCTCAGCCATGACTGAACTGGGAAGAACCTGTTTGAAGCCCTGGTTTGGAGTGTGGGTGGGCTTGGCCTGGTGAAGGCAGCAAAGCCTGGAGTTGGAACCCCATGCCAGCATCAGTTTACACCACTGGTTCTCTGACTTTAGCCTGCATCTGAGTCACCTGTGGGGCTTGTTAGACCACAGTTCTCTGGGCCCATCCCCAGAGTTTCTGATTCAGGTCTGGAGTGGGGCCCATAATTTGTATTTTTAACAAGTTCCCATGTGATGCTGCTGCTGGTGGGGAGATCACTCTTGAGTACTTGCAGGTCTACTCCAAGCCCCACTGTTAACACGTAAACCGTTCCTTCCCACTTCTTTCAAAAAAGACATGGCCAAGCTATTTCCAGTTTGGGAAGAGGAGTGAATGGAAGCCAAATGCTGGAAATAGCCCAAATGTCCATTAACAGATGAATGGAAGAACAAAATGTGGTATGTCCATACAATGGAATATTATTCAGCTATAAAAAGCAATGAAGTTCTGATCCATGCTACAACATGGACAAAAACATTATGCTAAGTGAGAGAAGCCAGACACAAAAGGCTGCCAATTGTATGATTCCATTTATATGAAATGTCCAGAACAGGCAAATCTATAGAGACAGAAAGTCGATTAGTGGTTGCCTTGCACTGGAGATAGGGAGAAATGGAGAATGACTGCTTAATGGATATGGGGTTTCTGTTTGGGGTGGTGGAAAAGTACCGGAACTAGATAGTAGTGAAGGTTGCACAACACTGTGAATATCCTTAATACCACAGAATTGTCCACATTAGAATGGTTAACATGGTGAGTTTTATGGTACATGTATTTTACCACACAAAAAAGTTGTTCTAACTTAAATGGTGGGGCCAGCTGAAATGTTTATAGGATAAAGTTGAAAATGCAAAGGGTCTAAACTGATGGTTCTCAACCCTGGTTGCTCAAATATTCACTCTGGGGAGTTTCTATAAAATACTCTTTTCTTAGCTCCGTCCATGACTGATTAACTCAAAATCTCTGGAGGTGAGGTGCAGACATCAGAATTTTTTAAAATTCACCCTACTGCCAGGATTGAGAACACGTGCCTAAAACCTCAAAGGCTAAATGAGTTGATAACTGTGCAAACTGAGTACCACCTCATCACAGATAAATGAAACTTTTATCTTTTAAACTTGCTTGGGAATGGTGCATAGAGTAGAACAAAGAGCTTTTGGAATCAGATTGACTCGAGTTTGAAAACTGGCTCCGCTACTAACTAACTGCGTGACCTCTCGTATGTAAAGAACACTGTTTCATGGGGTTGTGGTGAGGCTTACATGGAATTGGCCAATTTCCCGCTCATAACAGTGTCAGAGGCACTGCTTTGTAATCATCTATCTCTGCATCTCTCTGTAGATCGGAAGGGAGACACAGTGCTTTGTTTGTATAAGTCCTGTTGTTAGCTGCGGTAGAGTCGGCCCCCAACTCATGCTGATTGTCTTAGTTATCTAGTACTGCTGTAACAGAAATATCACAAGTGGGTGGCTTTAATGAACAGAAATTTATTTTCTTACAGTTTAAAAGGCTGGACGTCTGAATTCAGGGCACCGACTCTAGGGTAAGGCTTTCTCTCTTTGCCCGCTCAAGGGGAAGGTCCCTGTCTCTTTTCAGCTTCTATTCCTAGGTTCCTTGACGGTCATGTGTCATGTATCTTCCTTTCCATTTGTGCTTGCTTTAATCTGCTCTATCTCAAAAGAGATTGATTTAAGACACACCCTCCACTAACACTGCCTCATTAACATAACAAAGAAACCCATTCCCAAATAGGATTATAACCACAAGTATAAAAAACTCTCTGCTGTCGAGTGGATTCTGACTCATAGTGACCTTATAAGACACCGTGGAACAGCCCCATAGGGTTCCCAAGGCTCTAATCTTTACGGAAGTAGACTGCCACATCTTTCTTCCTTGGAGCAGCTGGTGGGTTCCAACCTCTCACCTTTTGGTTAGCAGCCAAATGTTTAACCACTGTGCCACCGGGCTCCCAAACACAGGTATGTTGTTAGGTGCCGTTGAGTCGGTTCCAACTCATAGTGACCCTATGCACAACAGAATGAAACCGCAGGTATAGGGGTTAGGATTTATAACACATATTTTGGGGGGGACACAATTCCGTCTGTTGCACTGACCCCATGCGCAATGGAATGAAACACTGCCTAGTCCTGTGCCATCCCGTGATGGGCTGCTGATCAGACTGTTGCGATGCATAGTTTTCAGGCTGATTTTCAGAAGTAGATCACCAGGTGTTTCTTCGTAGTTCGTCTAAGTCTGGAAGCTCTGCTGAAATCTGTTCAGCATCATAGCAACAGGCAATCCACCACTATCAGGCGAGTGGTGGCTGCGCATGAGGTACATTGGTTGGGAATTGAACCTTGGGAGCCCTGGTGGCACAGTGAGACTTCCCACATGGAAGTCCAGAATTCTACTGCCCGTGCCTCATGTGAAAGTCCTAGCACTGCAGTATCTTGTACCATTAATTTCTTTCTTCCTGCACCTGAGGGTAGGTTGAAAGATATCTTCATAACCCAGAAGTGGCATGTCTAGATGGGGAACTAGTGAAAATGGCTTTTCAAATCCATAATATGCAAGCAGAGGAGGAGATGGTGAGGCCAGTAGAAATCCTTTCTGCACTCATGCTCCGACTTCCTTTTGTGTACCAAGCTTTATAACAGTTTATATACCGGTGGCACAATGGTTAAGCACTTGGCTGCTAACCAAAAGGTTGGGGATTCAAAACCATCCAGTGGCTGTTTGGGAGAAAAGACCTGGTGATCTGCACCTGTAAAGATTACAGTGTAGGAAACCTATGGGGCAGTTCTACTCTGTCATATAGGGTCACTATGAGTCAGAACCGACTCAACAGCACACAACAACAAGATAAAGGCAAATAAAATTCACCTGTAAATTGCTACAAATAAAACTGTTGGGATTTTCCCATATTTCTGTCCAGTCCTTATTTGTAGGTAATATAGGTAATATATTTTTATTCAGCTACAATTTTAGCATAGCTACAGTTTTATATTCTACTGTTTTCATTTGGTACTTTATCTTTTGTATTTGTCATGTTTCTATAGTCTTCATCATTGACATTTTAATAGCTGTATAGTATTTCATTGAGTGGCCTTACTATAATTTACTTTAATAGCCCTCTATTGTTAAGCCTTTTAATTGCTTCCAAGTTTTCAATGTTAGAAATTGTGCCCACTGTAAATATTTCTGGATATAACTTTTAACTTTTTTTGGGTATATTTCTGTAAAATAAAATTCCTGCACATTTCTGGATAGAGGAGTACTAACATTTTAACGCTCTCAAATGGGCTATCAAATTGCTTTGCCAAAGGACTGAACCAGTTTGCACCACTCCACCAGGTGTGAGTGTATCATTTTCAACAACTTGCCTGCACTGGGCTTCATTGCTTAAAAAAAAAAAAAAGTTTTGCAAGTTGCACAGCTATAATCTAATTTAAATTACTACAGCTTTTTGGCACGCATAACATTTCTTCCCCATCCCTTTTCTGGTGGCATCCCCACTGTTTTGTAAAATGAAGCACAAAGAGGCCCTTCCTAAGCTATTGAGCTTAGCTTCCACCCTTTCAAGCAGGAAAGAGTTTGTGCATTCCCAGATGATAGTATTTGTACTTTAGTGCTCATTGATTGGGACCATTCGTGGTGATGAAAACCTAGTGTGAATTCCATAACACTTTTAAATAACGATGTGTTTTATTAATAACAACAGTGTCTGCATACGTTTGAGATATGGTTGTAAAAAGTGTGTGTGAGACCTATTTATCCAGCTACACACCATGTTTGGCGCATATATACATTTTCAAATTCCTTCAATGCCCTCTTTGGCACAAAGGCTGGGAAATACTGCTCCAAGAACAAACCAGTATCCTGATAAGTAGGAGGTGCTTGACCAGCTAGGATGACTAGGGAA